AAAAAAAAAAAAAAAAAAACAACTTTATTTTGAATAGCTTTTAGATGTACAGAAAAGTTGGGGGGGAAATTCAGCGAGTTTTTATACACTCTTTGCTCAGCCTTATGTAACCACAGCTCAATGATCAGAACCAAGAAATTTAATTGATATGATGTTAGTATAATTTGTAACAAAGTTAACATTGTAATAGTACAAGAAATTCAACTGATACAATGTCACTACAATTCATTATACGATAAAGTAATGTAATCTTAAAAGAAATTAACATTGTTACTATGTTACTATAATTCATCAATGTCATAGTATCAGAAATTAGCACTACTATATTTGATTATACAATAAAGTAAATTGTAATAGTGTGAGAAATTAACATTGTCCCACGCCTTTATAGACCTTATTTGAATTTCCCTAGTTTTCTAGCCATCCCCATCCTGTTCCAGGATCTCATTCAGCAGCCCACATGGCACTGAGTTGCTACTTTCTTTGGCTACTAAAGTTTGTAAAGGTTTCTCAGTTTTTGTTTTTCATGACCTTGAAAATACTAAAAAATATTGATCATATCTTGCTGAATGTTTCTCAATTTGTCTGGTGTTTTCATTGATTGGACTGAGGCTGCAGTGGCCTGCCTCTCTAGCGCACGATGTCACAGGCCATGATGTCAGTGTGACGTGCTGCGGGGGCCTGGCCCTGGCGCCCTGCTCGGGGGGTCTGGCCAGGTTTCTCCTCTTCTGCTTTGTGTCTCTTCTGATATCTTCCCTCCTGTGGTTAACACTATCTCGGGGAGATACTGGGAGACTACACAGATCCTTTGCTTCTCCTACTTTTCCTCACCGATTTCACAGGCATCAGTGTATTTTTTTTCTGACTATTACTTATTTGCAGTTTACTTAATGGTGAATTTCTGTTTCCCTCTTAACTTCTACATTTCTTAATTGGAACTCTTCTGCAAGAAAAAGCTGTCACTTCTCCATCTGTGTAGTTAACTGATTATTAACATCAGTGTGGCTCGTGGATGCTTGTTTTATTCTATGGATTATAATCCAATACTATCACGATTTATTTCGTTGCTGAAATTGTTCTCAGTTGGGCCATTAGGAGCTCCTTTGAGAGCAGCCTCTTGCAGTCTCCATCAAGCTCACATGTTGATTATTTATTCTTTTTTTTTTTTTTTTTTACTTCCTTCCTCTGTGATTCCAGGAGATGTTTGTTTTAGGCTCATCCTTTGTTTCCCTCTCCTCCGGCCTAGATTCAGCTGCTTCTTTAAGCAGCTCTGATTCCTTTTATTGCAAAACTGTTTAGAAACCAAGATTGAGGTATTGGGTGTACACATTCCTGCTCCGGCTTCCTCGTTTCCACACCCTCTCCGTGGACAGAGCTACAAGTTTTTGTGTACTAACACACACATCTGTGCATGTCTGTGTTTCTGTATCTTTCTCTCTACATTTGTCTTTACAAACTACGAACATAGGCTGGGTGCAGAGGCCAAGGCAGGAGGATCACTTGAGCTCAGGAGTTTAAGACCAGCCTGAGCAAGAGTGAGACCCTGTCTCTACTAAAAATAGAAAAATTAACTGTGTATCATCATCATCGTCATCATTGTGGTGGGTGTCTGTTGTCCCAGCTATGAGGGAGCCTGAGGCAGGAAGATCACTTGAGCCCAGGAGTCTGCTGTGAGGTTGCTGTGAGCTAGTCTGACGCCATGGTACTCTGGCCTGGGTGACAGGGCGAGACTGTGTCCAAAATGACAACAACTAAAACAAACACCACCCCCCCGCCCGCAGGCATGTGTATGATACGTTGGCTTCCATTTTAATTTTCTGCTTTTCTTATTCTTACCAGCCTTCTCCAGGAGTGACAGGTCTGGGACAGACTGTCCAGAATACATGTTTACTTGTTCCTTTCTAACATGCACAGTTTTGAATTGTTGGCCCACACCCCTGTGAGAACACCTTTACTAGATTACAGCATCACGTGCTTTTCAGAGTTTCTCAGTGGTCGGTGTCTGTGTCTCCCCAGCCCCTCGGGGGTTGTGCCTTTCGTCTGTCATACCTGCTGCAGACCCACGGCTCTGATTACACACGGCTCTGGTGTGTTTTAATGTCTGGTGGAGCTAATTCCCTTGCAGTTTTCCTTTTTCAGTGCTTTCCTGGCAATTCTCGCAATTTCTTTTTCCTTTCCTCCGTCCTACCAGAGTCTGAGTGGGTTGGAGTCTCGGTGTGGACAGGGCGGCAGAGATGCTTGTGGGCTGCAGCCACGCTCTGCTCCTGAAACCCAAGGACTAGGCTGATTTGAAACGGAAAGGCAATCTCTCTGTCCCCGTTTTAACTTAATTCATTTTCTTTGTGAGACTGCCCCTTGATGTTAAATTTCCCAGCAAAATCTTTTCAAGATGTTAGTCTAGAAGGCACCATAGGGCAGAGGGCAGATACAGCGTCTGCGGCCCCTGGAAGAGACTGTGGCTTGTCCAAGGCGACATTGTATCTCTAGGCCCCTACAGAAGGTACATTGTTTCACAGCGCCTCCAGGCCACAGCTGGGCATGGCCTGTGGACGGTTCCCTGCCTGGCACTGGTGATTGCTGGGTTCTGTCCTCTCAGGCAGGCAGGACTGGTCCCAGAACAGTGTCATCACCAAGCTCAGTGCGTACCTCTGGGCTGGGAGGTCCCATCAAAACCAGCCCCTGCCCCGAGTGCTGGCAGAGCAGCCCTGAAATGTGACTTCATCCCTCTTGAGCAGAGGATGTAATTCTCTTCTGTTGATTTTTGGGGGGTGAGGTAGATGTTGCTAGAACAGGGTGAGGTTAGAAGCATGTAAATTAAAATGTTTAGCACTTTTTAGGTTTACTCCTGGTCCCTGGGAATTCTCAGGAAATTCCACAGGATGCCTTTGCTCCGAGCTTGCCAGTGCGGCTTCTCTTCTCCCCGCAGTGCCAGGCTGGTGTCTGGGACTGGCCCACCACCGTGGAGCACCTCTGCCCCACATGATATAGGGTGGGAATGTTGGGGCTGTGCATCTTCAGCCACCCAGTCCGCTGTGCATTTTACAGCGTGTTAGAAAAAGAATTCAAGAAGAGTTTTAGGCTGGGCTCAGTGGCTCACGCCTGTGATCCCAGCACTCTGGGAGGCCAAGGAAGGAGGATCACTTGAGCTCGGGAGTTTGAGACCAGCCTGAGTAAAGCCAAGCTCCATCTCTACTAAAAACAGGAAAAGTATCTGGGTGTAGTGGCAGGTGCCACTAGTGTCAGCTACTCAGGAAACTGAGGCAGGAGGATCACATGAGGCCAGGAGTTGGGGGTTGCTTTGAGCTATGATGATTCCATAGCACTCTAGCCTGGGCAGCAGAGTGAGACTCTCTCTAAGTAAATAAATAAATAAAAAGTATTTCCATCCAGGGTCATATTATCAGCATACATGTGAACTGAAGGAGATGTGTGCTGACTAGGCTTCCCAATAGGATGCTGGGGACAGCATAGAGCTGGGGCAGAGATGAACCTGGAGGCTGGGAGGCTCTGGAGTCTGAGGAGCCCCCCCAGAGGGGACAGCCGCCAGGTGGGCTTGTTTCCAGCTGCCAAGGAGTCTTGTCTGCTGTCCTGGACCCCAGGCAGAGGCCCGCTTGGGAGTTCCTAGCTCCCCTCTGCAGGGGCAGTGGGAGAGGATCATTAAGTAACAGGCCACAGTGACCACGGGGAGCAGGAGAGGCCATCCTCTCCAACACAGCCCCCCACTGACCCACAGACCGCAGCTCAGACCACAGCCCTGCCGAGGGCCTGTGGGCTTCCTCTGCAGTGTCCACAGCGGGTCCAAAACACACTTTGCATCTTATTGCGACATCTCTGGGTTGATTTCCATGTTTCTCTCCTCCAATCACCAGATCCTGCTCACTGAGCGGTCAGTTCCGGCTGCTCCTTGGAGTGTAAATCTACTGGTATTTAACCAGTGTTACTATTTAGGAGCACAGATTTAACTGAGAGGCATCTTACTACCTTTTCTTGAATTTGCAGAGCTTTATACAAATGTGTAAATTTAAAAAACTCAGTCCTGCCTGTGCATGCGTACCCTCACACTGCTTCTCTGTTCCAGGGCCCGCTGCTCCTCGCCTTTGAGGTGGACCCCAGGCAGCAGCCACTGGAGCTGGCGGTACAAGAGGTGTCCAGTGTGGGCAGGTCGGCTGGGGAGAAGGTGAGCTGGGTCCTTTCCCTGAAGGAAGAAGTGAATTCAGTGCTGGGGCTGGGAGAGTTTATTTTGCTTCAGAACTTTACTGAAAATGCAGAACTCCTATACCAGTGGCTGAAAAAAAAGTCTGGCCCATTAACTAACGAGTGGTCTGTCCATGCAGTGGGGTATTATTTGGCCTTAAAAAGGAAGGAAATTCGGACACAAGCTACAACATGGATGGACCTTGAAAACATGCTTAGTACAAGAAGCCACATAATGCATGATTTCATTTGTATGAAATGTCCCAAATAGATAAATCAATAAAGAAAGAAAATAGATTAGTTTTGCCAAGGCTTGGGTGGGGAGAATCCTTGGGGATTCTCAGAGAGTGATTCAAACAGAGAGTGATTGCCAGTGGTGTAAGGTTTCTTGTTGGGGTGATGAAAATGTGCTAAAAATGATGGGGGTGATCATTATGCAATTCTGTGAATTGGTTAGAAACCACTGAATTGTGTCTGGGTGCGGTGGCTCATGCTTGTCATCCCAGCATTCTGGGAGGATCTCTTTAGTTCAGGAGTTTGAGACCAACCTGAGCAAGAGTAAGACCCTGTATCTACTAAAAATTAAAAAAAAAAACAAACTAGTCAGGTATTATGACAGGTGCCTGTAGTCCCAGCTACTCAGGAAGCTGAGGCAAGAGGATGGCTTGAGCCCAAAAGTTTGAGGCTGTGAGCTGTGATGACATGGCACTCTACACAGGGTGACCGAGTAAGACTCTATCTCAAAAACAAACCAAACATTGAATGGTACAATTTAAACTGGTGACGTATACGCTGTGTAAATGGTATCTCAGTGCAGCTTCTATGTGTGTGCAACATGCTGTATATATTTCAACTATTTAGATATTACGTAGAATTTATTTTCCTATTGCTAATAGTCCATAGGTTGAACTTACCAGACTGTCTGGATACCCTAAATCATAAAGAAGTTTCTGTAGTAAGTCCTAAGAAAGTTTCTTTTAAATAGAAGACTTACCCTTATATTGATTATATTATTATTGTTATTGGTATTGCTATTATTGTTGTTTTATAACTTCTTACCTTTAAGCTCTGAATTTTTTGCCTGTTAATAAAAATAATTTATTTGGCATAAGTACAAAATCCAAAGACCTGCTCCCAATGGAGACATATGATGCTGTGGCTGCCTGCTCACACCCCTGCTCTATAGTTTTCAGTCTAGAGTTGCAGTTAGAGACCAGTGACAGAGCTACACTGTGCCACCAGCCCCCAAACCCCCCCTTGGCTATCCTTGGCGTATCCTTCATGCATGTATAACTTTTAATCATTTTTATGTACAATCTCGCAATAGACTTTCTCTATATAGAGCATGGTATTTTGAGACTCATCTGAGCTGATTTTTGTAGCTCTGGTTCATGTGCTCCAAGTGCAGTTGGGATTCCAGAGGAGCCTGAGCTTCCTTCTTTATCTTCCATTGTTGGGTCACTAACTTGTTTTCTCTTTCACAAATATGGGTTGACTGTCTCTTATCCAGGTTGTTTGGGACTAGGAGTGTTTCAGATTTCGGATATTTCTGGTTTTGGAATATTTATTTATATTATTTTTTACCAGCCAAACATTCCCAAACCCAAAATCCTCCAGTGAGTATTTCCTTTGGGCATCAGGTCAGCACCCAGAGAGTTTCAGATTTTGGAGGTTTTGAATTTGGATGTTGGGAGTTTGGATGCCCAACCAGTAGAGGCGCTGCTGTAGCCAGCATGTGTGACACTGCCCCGAGTACCTGTGACACTGCCCTGAGTGCCTGTGACGCTACCCCAAGTGCCTGTGACGCTGCCCCGAGTGCCTGTGTCGCTGCACCGAGTGCCGGTGTCACTGCCCTGAGTGCCTGTGACGCTACCCCGAGTGCCTGTGACGCTACCCTGAGTGCCTGTGTCGCTGCACCCAGTGCCTATGTCTCTGCCCCGAGTACCTGTGACACTGCCCCGAGTGCCTGTGTCGCTGCCCCGAGTGCCTGTGACGCTGCCACGAGTGCCCGTGTCGCTGCCACGAGTGCCTGTGACGCTGCCCCGAGTGCCTGTGTTGCTGCCCCGAGTACCTGTGACAGTGCCACGAGTGCCTGTGACACTTCCACGAGTGCCTGTGACGCTGCCCCGAGTGCATGCGTTTACTGTCTCCTGACGCTGTGGGCATAAGCACAGGACCATCCCAAGGGAGAGGGACTTGCTGGGCTGTAGGCGTGCACATGTTAGTTTGACCAAGTACTTGCAAGTTTATCAGATCCATTGCCAAAGTGGCATTGTCCCACTTCCCTCTGCCCTAGCTGCATGGGAGAGTGCTCTTTCCCTTCCCTTGAGGATATGGGGGCCACATAGCTGTGTAACTCCCGGGGATGAGTGTGGGAAGTCATTGGGTTCAGGAGGAAGCGGGCCAGCAACATGGGATGCTGGGACCCTCACAGCCCGTGTTGCTGGGGCCTGGCCGCAAATCATCCAGTGCCCATTTTACAGATGGGGAGCTAAGGTGCAGAGAGCTGCAGGTCCAGCCTCCCTGGGGCCCTGCCTGGGAAGTCCTTCGGTGGCAGTGTGCACCCTCTCTGTTAGTGACAGATGGGGACTGAATCCTTCTGTGGCTGATGGTTCTCTGGTGTTTTCTGACCCTTTCCCCAGTAAGAGAGGAACGGCACCCAGGGCTGGCCCAGACAGGTTGGCGGGGGGGAGCAGAGATGGGGAAATAGCAGCAATCCATTCTCAAAGGTCTTTAGAGTAACCAAAAAGCAGATGTAGAAAGTGGATGATTAGGCTCGGCACCTATAGCTCAACCGGCAAAGGCGCCAGCCACGTACACCTAAGGTGGCGGGTTCGAATCCCCAGCCCGGACCCGCTAAACAACAATGACGGCTGCAACCAAAAAATAGCCGGGCGTTGTAGCGGGCGCCTGTGGTCCCAGCTACTTGGGAGGCAGAGGCAAGAGACT